TGCCTTAAAGCAATGTGTGTGAAAATGCTAACAAATAAGAGTGTAAGGACTGTTAAAATGTAGGTGTCAGTTTCAATTATTATTACTATTATTATTTCATTTTTGAAGCTCAGTGCTGATGTGTTTCCTGTTTAGTATTATATTATCAAACAGCAAACAGCCAACATCCCTGCTTTTATAGAGCAGCTCACACTTGCTGATGAACAGTTAATGGTGCCCTTGATAAGTAGCCTTGGCTTTCACTTTCCCCTCAGAAATCTAATGGAAGTAGCAAGGGTGTACTTAGTTTTTACACACATCTTTTTTCCTTCCGTTTAAGAAATAATGACAGTGTGGAATATATTCTGTGTTTTTGTACATCTGGAGTGGAATTTACATATTTTTAATAAATATAAGTTTTATTATGTCCTGATGACACTGTAATATCTCTTTTTTACTTCATGAAATATTTATCTTTAAATTAGTTTTTCATAATCACTTTCTTGTTTATACAACTGGCAAAAATTAAACAGCATTTACTCCTTATTACATTATAAATAAGCATGCAGCCTGATCTATCTGTGTCTAATCCATTTATCTAGTGAACTGAACTGAGTTTGATATGATAAAATGTGCTGTGCAGAGGTGATTTACTCTGATACTAATTACTAGGCAAGGGACACTTATTAAACCAATGTCTCTCTACAACACATCAAGTTTCCCTCGTCAATCAAAACACTTGAATTAGGAGGTGAAACCAACCTTTTGGTATCACCAAAGAAGAGCTGAGGACTGATGTGGTTGGAAGATTAAATTCCCTCTGTTTGCATGCAGGGTGTTAATAAAACATGAGGCTGTTTTGCGGCTATGCATGCACCTGATCGCTGATGTGCAGTTCAGTATGCATAATACAGCTGAAGATATAATCAGCAGAGCTGATTAGCTTTTCTGTTAACAAGAAAATTATAGAATTTCCCATGTCTTGAATAAACAGGTTAGAGGAGTATGTACCCTGCCAGGCAGCAGGGGTTTTGCATAATAATTATTGGGAGACAATAATTCTTGGCAGGTTTCAGGCTATGCAACTGTGTCAAAGGTAAAAAAAATTCAGTACCCTAAAATGTCAGCCCACAAGCAGCTTTTAGGTGAGGACAGTCAGTGGCAGTTTTTAAAGACAATAGTATAAACATTTGTTTTGAGTTATCAGAATTGACTCACATTTCTTATGAAAATTTTTGTTGTCTGATGAGCTAACCCCTACCTTCTACTTCCTTTTTTCTAAGAGGATTGCTCAATCCAGCTCTCCATCCCACAGGTCTGGACATCCCTAAACCTGAAAGGTCTCACTAAGCAGGTTTACTGAAAGATCTGTTTAAGCTGGTGTTGGGAAATGACATGCCTAACCTCTAACACCCTACATCCAGAAGCCTCACTCTTTTTAAACTGATGGTTTGTACAACTAAGTAGCCCACAGCAGTCATCCAACTCTTAACAGCCACTTCTGTTAATATTGTTCTGTATTTAACTCCATCCATTTTTTTCTAAATTATAAAGCTTTCCTGTCTTTGCTGAAAAAAGGAAAACCGGGTCCCCACAGCATCTCTCACCTTGGTGATTGTGTGTTCAGGGTTAGACTTTGGCCACACATATTTTGCTTCTTATGGCTATTTTCAATAAATGGTTCCTGCCACTCTTCCATAAAGGCCAAAGTTGTGGAGTGCACAACTAATCATTCTACTGTTGACAAATTCTCCACCTAAGCTGTGGATGCCTGCAGCTCCTGCAGAGTTACCCTTGGCCTCACTGATACTTCTCTAATTAATGCTTTCCTTACTCTGCCTTTTTGCTTAATAATGTTCCTGTCAGGGTTCTAGGTTTGTGTGTGTGTGTGTGTGTGTTTGTGTTCACTTTGTTTTTAGCTTTCAGATGGTTCCAGAGTTTCTCAGGTGCACGGGGTGACAGGTGCGACTGATCTGCTGATTGTCTTGAGGAGTATTTAAGCAGGAGGCTGCCAGCACTTTAATGCCAGAGTGTTTGCCTTCAGTGGTAACAAACCTAGCTACTACCCAAGCTATGCTTCGTTCCATGACTCTTTGCTGACATTGTGTTTAATTTTTCGCGGGCTGAAACCTGAACCTTGTTTATCTTCGTTGAGCTTCGGCTTTGGCTCCAGTGATTTCCTGGACGCTCAAGTTTACCTACGTTTTGTGGATTACGTTCTGGATTTCGTGTTTTGGATTAAGCTGGCAGCTTCCTGGAAATTCCCGACTCCTGAACCAAGGCAGAGGTGTACCCTGTCCAACCTCCAACGCAAGTACCTGAACATTGAACTCTCTCATGAACTCACCAGTATTCACTCCCCCGCTCGTACTGAAGCATCAGGACAACCTAGCTTCGCACACCCAGGTTCTGACTCCCTCTACCCCTGGCGACCTGATGGCATTTACTTAGTAAGACACTTTGTTTACAAGTATCGTTTTCGTTACCCCGTTCCCTGTTTCACCATTCTCTTCCCCTCTCTTTCAGTTGCCGAATTTACCCATTCATGTCCCTGTGTTCACGTACTGTAAATAAACACTGTTACACTTTCAGCTTGTTTCCTCTGAGTGTTCTCTGTATGTGGGTCAGTGCTATAGTTCCCTCACAAACGCCTAAGGCTTTCACAGAAAGCTGGATTTATACTGAGCTAAAATGACATACGGGTGGACTTTCTTTAGTAATATCATTACAATACACAAACGTTTGTAAAAAAAAAGTTGAAGAGTTTGAATACTTGAATACACTGTGAACTTCAACCAGCCAAATACTGTTTAACGTGTTAATTTCATTTTGGCAACCCTTTGTTTAGTCTGTTAGATTAGTGCACAGCAATGTTACTGTGTATATTGTGTTTGTATTTGGTTTCATATTGTTATGGTAACAAAATGAGAAAAATTTAGCTGAAAACAAATCTCTGAGTTTCCCGTTTGTCTGGGTTGTAAACATTCCTAGTGTTTTGTGACCACAAACACAAAAAGGAGCCAAAGTTCTATTCCAGGCTAATTTTCCATAACAGTTATGATGGATAGAATCTGACAACAGAGGCCTTCAGCGCCATTTGTAATCGGGCAGTGGTGTCATTTCTGCCTGCAGTGCTGTAGTCTCATCAGACCACTAATTAGGAGAGGGTTTCTCATAATTATCTGGCCCACCTTCTCCGTGCAGCAGGAAAGCACAGCACACTCTTCACCCGCCTCTTCTTTTATCACTTATTGCTGCTGTTTCATTTGCATGAATAGACATTAATCAGCTTGATTTGCACAGGATGGAGAACGTTTAGAACATTTATTCAGAACACTTGACACCAACCTTAAGTGGGCATTGATTTACTTATCATTCCAATGAGCTGTGCTACGCACTTGCCCATATGTTACATTATGCAGTGGACGAACAAATTATATTGAAGTACTTTTTAATCATGTCAGCATGCTCTATTATTGATGTGAAATAGTTAAAACATGGTGGTGGTTGATGATGCTGATGAGTGATTGCGAGATATGATTAAAAAGCAAAAATTTCAGAAATTTTGTGTCAAAAACAAAACATAAAAAAATGGCAACAAATGAGACACATTGAAAAAACAATACCCATTTTCAACTGAAAGCAAGGTGGTTTAAGTTAATATTGACTTGAGAAACCAAAATGTATGCCACATAAAATGTTTTCATGTTTCACATGTTTTTATTGTTAGAAATTAATGTATTCATGTTGAACATATTGTACAGCCAAGACTTTCCTAATAAAATTCTAAAATGACCTAAATTAATGAATAAAATCCTATAAATTAAGTAAATTCAAAGTTACTTATAATATCATTCCTCTTTACCTTTTTAAGGAGTTGTCCTTTTAAAATTTGTATTCAAAAAAAGGTTTTTATGACCAAATGATACAGTTGGTTTAAGATTTTTATTTAAATCAGAACCAGAATCAGCTTTATTGCCAAGTTCGTACATACAACAAACAAGGAATTTTACTCCAGTACACTTTGCTCTCTGGGTTTCTTTTTTGTTTTTTTGTGTTATAAGATATATTGTGCATATATCTTTATGTCCTTAAATACATATATACAATATACACATATACGAAAGTGGATTTGCAACTTCAGTATGAGGTTGTTTGGTACTCTATAAAATGTTCATCAGAGAAACAACCTGGGGGAAGAAACTGTCTCTGTTGCGGCTGGTCAAAGTTTTGTCAAATTTGTTTAGCTTAATAGTTTTATTTTGTATAAGATTTAACTGAAACAAAAGCAATTCTCAAAGTCATGACTCTGATCCGGTTTTGATCCAAAGTTAAGTACATCTGAACCCAATCCAAACCTTACATCTTTTGGGCACTCTCATCTAGAGCTCTACTGACAAGCATGTGGAAGAGATGTGAACACTGCAGCATGATACTATAAGATCAAGTGCATATTTTATGACACAGGAAAATAAGAATTTTTGTAAGTTTTTTGTCTGCACAACTGAGAAACTTATGCACCAGGTATCTACAAGTCACATCTAAACAGACATTAGAACCCTCAGCAAGCGTTTCTCAGTGAAAAATCCTCAACAGAGTGCATGCTTTCCGAAGTCTTTTTGTAGCCGCAAGCAATCCTTTAAAATTAAATGGTCAAATTTAGCTGGTTTCAGGGGAAAGGTTGTTAGAACATTAAACCAGCTTTCTAAAACCCAATTAACCCCATAATGGAAAAGTGGAGAATGTCCGCAAACTATGAGGGGACAAAATGTTGGTCTCTGTCCAGGAAAAAAAATAAAAACAATAAAACAGTTGTTTTTGTTTTGGTTTTTTTAGAAAAATACAAAGAAGTAAATCTCTAAAAGTTACAGAAAAATATTAAATGTGTGTTATCTGTCCACTGAACTGTTGAAATACTATGTATCAACCATAGAAATAAATAAATTTTCAAGTTAATGTGTTTAGTTTGAAAATATTATAACTTAGAAAATAAATATAGAAAATATGGAAAACCTTAGGGCTGCATGGTGGTGCAGTTGGTAGCACGGTTGTCTTGCAGAGAGAAAGTTCTGGGTTCTAATCCCGTCTGGGGTCTTTCTGCATGGAGTTTGCATGTTCTACCCATGCATGTGTGGGTTCTCTCTGGGTACTCCAGCTTCCTCCCATAGTCCAAAGACATGACTGTTAGGATAATTGGTCTCTCTAAAATGCCCTTAGGTGTGAATGAGTGTGTGCATGGCTGTTTGTCCTGTGTTGCCCTGTGATGAAGTGGTGACCTGTCCAGTGTACCCCGAGTCTCGCCCATAGACTGCTGGAGACAACTTCCCCGCAACCCTGTATGGAAGAAGTGGGTATAGCGAATGGATGGGAAAAACAAATGGATAATATAAAAATACAAGTAAAACAAATTTCATACAGGGTGGGTTTAGGTCATTATCATAACTATATCTGACTATAATTACTTCTTTTGATTTGATGAAAAATTATTTAGTTGGTAAAGTTTATGTCAAAAATTCTTACAAAATTTGAGCCTTATTATGCTTTACTCTCAAACAACTTGTCAAGCCTAGGGTTACAAAATAATATAAGCAGGTATAAACTGCTGTTTCGTTTTCTTGTAAGTTGCAATATAATTTAACAATTTTAATGATTTTTAATGAATTTGATCACTACTAATCACTACTAGTTTTTCCAGACATTTAACCTTATTTATAAAATATATGTTTTGACCTTTTAAAATTAAGTTTTACTCTAGGATTTAAGTCAAGTCTGTCAGGTCCTTGATGTTATATTCAATCAACAGTAACAAACACAGCTGGAATATAACAAAAATGATTAATGTAATATACAGTACATTTAAAGAAAACCTTTCAAATATATTAATGTTCAGTGATCTGGTATAGTTATAGCTACAATGACGTACAAATTGATTCAAAATCTTTGATCTTGTTGTTCCTGCAGTGGTAGCATGCACAAATTTTCCAAAGGATATGTAGCTTTTTTGTTTGCCTCCCAAAGAGCCACCGGTGAGGAGCTTGAATTACTCCCACTGGGTAAATAAAGTACTTGGAGATCATATGATCCCAGCATTCCACTGCATCTGATGAGGTCTAGAGGAAGAACTGCAGCTGTGCATACAAATCACAAGATATGGTGTTTCTGAACCACAGTTCAACAGGCTGCTCATTCCTAAGCCTTTAGAGTCCAACAAACGAACCCAAGAGTTTTGATGCCAGTAAGAAATGTTGCTCCTGGGAGTTTTGATGACCAATTTCCAGCTATCCTTCATATTAATCTATTTCTATAACAGTATTCATTAGAGAGAGGTAAGTTAAAAAGACTTTAATAGCACAGGAAATTCTGCTGGAGGTAGGAAATGATGGACAGTAAGCCTGTTGATCGGAGTAGTTGAAGACAGCAGTCATATCCACAGTGATGAGTGTTATTTATTATATGAGAAGAGAGTTTGATTTCAGTTCACTGAATCGCACATTATTCCTCACAGACATGCCAATTTGACTGATCCTCCAAGATCAAACTTTCACAATCAAACACAACCCAAACTATAACAACCTGATAGTTGTTAAAATACCGCAGCGTTAAATTTTAAACTTATTCGCTTTTGCAACAGGTAGGCAGGCATTCATATTGAAGTTGCTATTTTCCGAATACTGTAAGTATGACACAGTGGGACTAGGGGCATATCATTAATGCTGCAATACAATCCCCAGTATTATTAATTATCCATCCATCCATCCATCCAACCATCGTTTTTACCCAGTTGTCCTTGTGGGCAGGAGACACATTGGACAGGTTGCCAGGCTGTCACAAGGCAACACAGAGACACACAGGACTAACAATCATGCATGGACACCTAAGGAAAATTTTTAATAGATGAATCACCCTAAAAGCCATGTTTATGGGACTAAGGGAGGAAACAGGAGTACCCGGAGGACATGCAAATTTCATGTAGAAAGACCTCCGGTCCTTCTTGCTGTAAGGCAATAGTGCTACCGACTGCTCCACCATGCAATTCTAAAATTGGTTAGTTAATATAATGCAGTCAAAATGACACACTGAAGTTTCAAATACTTGTTGTGAATAGCACATAATTTAATTACAATAAAGTGTTTCCCATTACATATCCCCACCACCCTTGCTTGTTTAGCCCAGCACTTCATCTGTTGTGTTGACCTTTAAAACAAGGGGAATTGGAAGTGGTCAAGTATTGAAAGATTGCAGGGAACACTTCACAACCGCACCCTTTATTAAGGGGTTGCCACAGGAAGTCAGTACAACTTGCAGAGGTTTTACACCTACTTCGTGCTACTTCACGAAGTGACTAAGTGTTGAAATGTTTTAAAACATTTTGTCTTAGGTGTGAAGACAATTTTGGGCTAATAGGTAGCTTTATTTACTGATGCAACATATTTAAATGCGCCAGTAAAACATCTGACATTTACAAAAACACAATTAAATAACATTTCCTCCATTAAGAGGACAAATGTTTATAGGGGAAATCTTTAGCTGTTCTCAAGAGCTAAATACAGAGTATCCATAAATGGTTTTTGCTGAGGAAGGTATCCCTTTCTATGATGATAGTTTGTATCATTGGCTGGTCTAAATATTCTTGCATTTGGCAGGTAAATCTTTCTTTATCTTTGAAAACCATCTTAGTTTTAAATAAATAAAATTTGGAGATTATGCTGAGGCTTTAACATTTTTAGATATTTGTTTCACATGTCCATGCGGTAAACCAAAAACAACATTCTGCAGGATTTCCATTTATCCTTAACGTTGTCCTTGACAACAATGGTGTCTTTGATTCCTTTCTTGTCAACTGGTGTTTTGCAGAAGTCTTTGTTTAGCTCCCATCGATGTTTTCCAAATATTGAACAAGCTCTGCACTGATGGCACCTCAGTAGGAGACCATTTTGGTATTTATTGCACACCTCTTCACATCCTGAAGCCTTCATTCACTGCTAGTTGAAAACCTTGACGTTACTGATCTGCAAATCCTTTTTTTTAGGTTGAATTATGGTTTCTTTGCAACAATATCCTTACTTGCAAGACCATAAGATACAAAATGAGGTTGGCTGCAAGTGAGGTTACCAAGAAGAAAATGTTTTCAAGCACATCTGCCCCACTTATAACAAATAGTCAGCTAATTAGATTAATAGTGTGATTATTGGAGGACTCTTTCACAGCTTCACCTTAGCTTATGATTAGACTATATATAAAAAAAGAATAAATTATTTTTATTTTGTAAAACTATCTAAAGTAATAAAGATATTCACAATGAATGAATATGGATCTGATTCCTCTGCACAATAATCCTGTAGCATTGAAAAAGAGCATCATAAAGTTTGCAACACCACATTTGTGTTGCTGATGGAAGGACTATGCAAAGAATTTTCCCAGTTGAGTCAGAGTCATCTCAGAGAGCTCCTGTCTTAGCCTAAACATTCTTGGCAATGACTCCTAGCTTAAGAGTGACTCTGAAGTAGGAGAGGAGAGAAAGTCCAATCTTAGAGATGAGGTGTAGTTGACCCCATTGCTAGGTGTGACAATGTCTTCTAAGAACTGTGATTGGTTGTTAAAAGAACAAAAAAAATGCACTCCTAGTAATCAATGGAGAGAAATCAAACAATGATAGAATTTAGACTGGATTCTGAAATTTGTAAATCATGATGATAAAGCTTAGCAAAATTAAATTAATTGTCTGGGATCATGGTGGGAACAAACAGGCATTCCAGAGCAGGATTCCCTCTGCTTTCAGCACCAGTCTGGAGTGTGAGCAGCTCTGGTTCCTGCTGCATTCAGACACTAGGGAGGAGATAGCAGCACACCAAAGACTTTTTCCACAGACGGGAAGCGTTGTAGATGACCATTTAGGCTTAGGCTGCTGACATCATCATGTACAATACAGGAAATACTTATTCACCTCATTTACATCTTCCTTCAATGTATATTGTGCTTAGATTATTGCACTGTATCTTGTCTAGAGTCTGTATATATTTTTTTGAGTTTTTTCCATTTTTTTTTCTAAATGTTTTTGAAAACATTTTACAGTCTGTAAAAATTTAAATAATTCTGTACTATATTGTTTGTAATTTTGTTCACTTTTTATTCATGGTAATTAATTATTGTTTCTATTATTTATTTATTTAATTATTTATCCTTCCTTATATTACCTTACTAGAGGTGCATCTTTAACCTGTCCTGCCACTTAAGCTATTTAATTTCACCCAAGGGGGATGATAAAGTTTATCTTATCTCTATATTAATAATTTCATGATTGTTATACAAGTTTATTTATTCATTTACTCGACTATTAAGGAGGTTGATCCCTGGGCAGTTGAGCTGGTAGCGTTTTATTAATTCGCTGTTATTCATTGTTTGGAGAATTTCTTTCCTTTCTCTCCGTCTTTGCTCCATCTTCCCTTTCAACACTCTTTTATGCTCACTAAATGTCCTCCTCACTACTCTTAACATTTGTTAACATTTGTTTAGGAGCTCTCTTAAGGCCTAAGATGATTCATGAATAACTTTGATCTTACAAAGGGAAAATTCTAACTAAAATCTTAGTATTCGAGAAATTCTGAGATTTTTCTTAGAATGACGTCACTAGGAGCTACTTTTAGTCTTAGGATACTTTGTAAATACAGGCCCAGATTTTTGCAGTTGAAAAGGTGAGCCATTGCTCCATATACATCATCATCTGTGGGCTACTTCGTTTTAAAGGAGTATAAAGGATGAAGAGGAAAAAAAAATCCTTCTTTACCTCATGTCATAAAAATCTTTTCTGCAATTGACAGTTTTGCAGAAAATGGTCTCTGAAATGTATCTGGAGTGTTTCAAAATCTCCATTAGGCAAAGACAGATAAGTATGCCAGCAAAAACCATAAAGTTTCTACAATACAAAAATTGTGACAGAGCTGGTGTTTTATGGTCCGTGCTACTTCAAGCTGCTTCTGAGAGCGGTCTGATGTTGGCTGCTCTGCTCGCTGCAGGTGGTACATTGAAACCATTAGCTTTAAAAAGAAAATTGTAGCCCAACTTTATGGTTTTTCTTCACAAAGTACAAAAAAGGGAAAGAGAGT